GGGGGCGGGGGCTGTCGCGTGGCTGGGGAGTGTAAAATACTGCTTCAGTGGCCGGTGGTCCTGAGAGTCTGCCCGCCACTACTAGGCTTTCCGCGCTTGCCATTGCTAGGCATTCCTGCAATAATGGTCGTAGTTTCCCTAGTTGCAGGTCAACCCTCGTCTAACAAACTGGAGCTTTTTTTGTAGGCATAGGTGCCGCAGTTGCAAGACAAACCTCGACTCACAAGTGCAGCTATTGTTTTTTCTAGGCTTAGCTGCCCCAATTGTAAGTCAACACTAGACTCGCAATTGAGCTTTCTTTGTAGGTTTTAATTGCGTCAGCTACAAGTCAACCCTCGACTCCCAACTAGGCTTTTTTCACACGATGTAGGTGCCCCAGTTGCAAGTCAATCCTCCACTGGCAACTAGGGCTTCTTTCATAGTTGTCCCGATTGCAAGTAAACCCTTGACTCACAGCTGGGGCCCGAAGTTTGTTTTGCCTACTCAACCTAAATGTCTATGTTTCTACTCGATGAAATAACTTCATGTTTTCTTTTGTTCCTTTCCGACTCTAAACGTAATTACACATATGTATTTTTTTTATTCTCTCTGTGAAAAAAATACAAACCTTAAAATGTATATTTGATTGAAAAACAAATAAAGTCAGCAATTTTTTGTTTCTCCTTTGCTGGCACTTTTTTTATTTTCTTTTTTGTAATCCTAAGCATTTGTATATGATGTGACTTCAAAATGTATTTTTTCTTTTTCTTTTTGAGTTTGTCGTGCACATATTTCAGGTTCCCAAACATTTGTTGAATTTGTGAACATTTTTTGAATACATGAATTTATTTTGAATTCACCAAAAAAAAATTTGGAATATATAAATATTTTTTTAGAATTCATGATTTTTTTCAAATACGTGAAAATATATCAAATTCGTGAATTTTTTTGCGTTCACATGTAACATATTTTGAATTCGAGAATTTTTCCAAAGTCATCAATTTTTAAATACGCAGACATGTTTGAATACGTAAACAGTTTTTTGGTTATTTTGACCTTTTCACTTCTATCTTTTTGTTTTATTTTAAAAATGTTTAGCACGCATTTTAAAATTGTTCAGTGTGTGTGTGTATTATAAAATTTTCATCAGATATTAAATACTTTTTCAATTTTATTAGAAAAAATGGTCACCATAGTTTAAGAAATTTCTTAGCATGTATTTGAAAAATAAAAATATTCATCATATATGAAAAATATTGAATAAATATTAGAACAATGTTTATAATACAGAAAAGTAGAAGAAAAACTAAACCTGATAGAAAAAAAAAGAGAGAAAAAACACAAATCATACTACTACGTATGCAGGCTACAGGGACAACGGCAACATGGGAGCGATGTACGGCACGTTGCAAGGCACGTGCAATTATCTAATTTCCATACTATTTTCATCCTATTTTCTACTCTTTTTTCTCACATGAAAGAGACATATCTACCACATTTACATGTAATTCAAATGCACATGTCAACACGAAGATAATGGGCACATACATGTAGTGTTGTTGTCACCCATGGTGATGGAGATGACTCATTTACATTTTCAGCAATGTATTTGAATTTTCTGTAGCACAGTAGCACTTCACTTGTATTACCAGTACAAACAATAAATAATGTACACCTGCAAGCATAACAAATATATGACATGAATTCACTACTCAATTTTGCAGTACCCTCGACCGACGCAGGAGCTGTGTACATCCTCCCCGTATACACCATTTGAGCAGTCTTTCGGTGTCATGCTTGTTTCATGTCGTCGGAGCCTTCTCTTGCTTGACTCTTCGATCGGCCCATTCCCCACACATGGTGTCGAATATGCACCCGGATAGTAAACTTGATTTGCCTCCCGTTGTTAACTAAGGCCAACCGAGTGTGCAGAGGTCATTTGAGATTTTCAAGTCTCAAACATTGAATATTTTTGGGTGGATAAGGGTGTGAATTTCACTTTGCTCCCCCGCGGAGACAATGACAGGCTCTTTTCCAAGGTGTGAAACAAGCAAGCATGTTTCTCAGGAAGCACAGGCAGTTGGATAGTGGCGCAAGAGAATTTTACCAGTTTACCACAAAGACCAAAAGATAAACAAATTACAGATCTGGGAGGAGGACAATTCACATGACAAAACCACCTTACATATGAACGAAACAAACTACCATAGCAACAATACAATGTATGTAGCAAAACAACATCTCAGTCTCAGATTCTCACAAGGTTACATCGAAATTTATTATCATCATCTCAAGCAACCAAGGCGGCGCCTTCAGTCGTCAACAACCTCTTCCGTCTTCTTAGGCTTGGACATGAGGTAGAGTCCCGCTCCTAGGGCGCTTAGGCCAGCGACCGCGCCCGCCAGGGCGGCGTAGTTCGTGTTCATGTTCTTGTCGGTCATCGACACGCCTCCCCCGACCTTCACATCACCTACTGCAGGAGTAGGACCCTACAAGAATTTACAGCTCTTGGATGTCAGTTTTGCTTTCACATCGACCCACACACAACATATGCACTAGTGTATCTCAACTTATAGCAAGTTAAAGCATGCATACATACATACATACATATCCTTTTGACCTAAGCTGGCGCGAAAGGTATATATTAACAAAGCATGTTATTAAGTATACATTAACAAAGCATCAACAGAAAGACCACCTATGTCAAAAGTGCTTCATTCGTCAACCGAAGCATTTCATACGGAAAACCACCCTCCAATGATGGCATGTTATTTTTGACAGGAAAAAGATTTCTTCTGATATGCAGGTTATCTTATTTTGTATCAGTTTTATTGCAATATTCGGTTATCTCTTGTAGCAGGTAAAGGACAAACTTGTGGTGCAGGCACTTATTCACAATGCATGGGTGGCATTTTAGACACATGCTCTAGTCTTCCCGATTATTTTGAGCCTAGTTGTGTTAGTATATTTACCACTTTGAACAATGTAATAAACTGTTGGGCTGTGTGCATATCATGGTGCAGAGGCCGAAAGAGTGTTTTTCTTCCATTATCTAAAAAAATGTAGGAGTATGTGGTGAGCTCCGCATATACATGAAGCTCTTGGTAACCTCACTGCCATAACCATGGCCCTCTAGGATCATCCAAAGTTCCGCTGACCTGAATGTCATCTGCATTCTCCTTTTTTTTGTTCATGGGATGATCCCTCCTCCAGTCCCATGGTGTCTGAGGATTATCTGATATCCAAAGCCCTACACGTGCCATTTTTGCTTCTCTCTCCCACTGAACAAAACAATTAGTCAAATTGTGAGAGAGAAACTCGTTCGCAATATAATTAAGGATGAAAAAACCACATAATTAATGTAGGCATATTTTTGATGTACCACTGGTTAGTAACGAACATGCATTATACATTATTAAGTTATATGGAGCAGCTTGTAATTAATAATTATATTGAAGGTGCTAGAGTGAATTTCTTTTCGGGTATAAAAAATGGATTGAGATGAAATGTCCTACTTGTGCGAATTCAGGACGTTTGTCATATTTTTTGAAGTGCCAGGCCAAGCCCCTTTTCAGCATTTGTTCCTGAAGAATTTAGACATAAAAATCACGGTCACTCGCTCTGAGAAAATTAAAAAAAGATGTATGAGTTGGATCATATTTTCTGTCTCACTTGGATAAAGACGCCGTCACAGTAGATGTCGCCAATATATCGATCAAAGTGGTCCATCCCATACACATGAATCTCAACGCATTTCTCTCCAATAAGCTTCACCAACCCTTTCTTTGACTTCTTCCCATATTCCATGTTCAGCTCCGGTGCATCAATCCCTCTGTTGTTGACTCACAAAAGTAAGTGCACTCTTCTCACAACCTATTATAAAACTCGATGGCATGAGATCTAATCATTAATTAACCAGCCCATAGTCTGTGGGCCACAATTAGAATTTAGTACTGTACCATCATCATTGGATGTTTTCTAGAACTTAGTTATTTTAACCCAAGATATAAGAGCTAAATAATATAGACAATATTTTAAATTAAGACACGCTTAAGGTCAAATCCAACTTAATGAAGAAACATTATGGGCAAGCTCTACTATACATATATGAGTTATTTTGGTCTTGATATTTGAATACTTCAGAAAATGAATTCTAACATTTAAAAATCAAAATAATATATTACAATTTCTCAATAATTAAAATTTTTAATTAGAGATCCTTAAATTCGAATTGTAGCTACACACATTAAATTGCCATTCAACTCTATAAGTAGTGTTATGGCATTTTTAATTAAATATATGTTCTGGCGCTCGAAACAGAGAATACATTTGTATATTAAAATAATAATTATATGTACTAAATTTTGAAGCCCCAGGTCCAAATCTATATCTGAAATTTGTCCATCTACCAATTCAATGTACACAATCGTCACTAGTACCTTCGTCGTCGTTTGTTGGTCCTCCTCGTATTTTGTGCCAAAATTTGATCATAGATTTAATTGACAAAATGTTAATGCATGTCATAAAAAATTATATCATTGGATTCGTATTCCAACATAGTTTCCAATGATACTATTTTTTGTGACATGCATTAATTAACATTTTGTTATTTAAATCCATGGTTTAAATTTGGCATAAAATACTAAGGGGACCCAAAAACCATGACGGAGGTAGTAGCACAGAACACCATATCATACATGAGTGAAATCTCTGGTGGCTAATGCATTTGGGCCCCATTCGTGATCCAAGGCCTGTGATGACAAACATGATCACTAGCCGGTATTTTACCCTTCAGTGATAACACTCATCACTGATGAGTACTATGCAGCCCGTCAGTGATGAGATGTTATCACATATTGGGTTGGAGCATGTCGTTGGTGATATCATGTCCCCAGTGACGGGTTGCAAGCGCCACGTACCTATGATGTGTTCTTTTGGGGTGCGAGAAAAGCCACCCCATAGTGCTGGTGGGTGGCATTCACTGGAATGGCTGCAATTTTTGCATGCAATGTTTGGGGATCATGAGTACTCAAAATGATCATGTTGATGGCGAACACAAAAATAATAAGCGTGATTAGACATATGTTGTCTTGGCCCCCAAAGCCACCCTAGAAGATGGACGTCTTGACCTTTCAATGTTTCTCCACATATGCTGACGGTATGCCGGCCTTCTTCCTGAACTCCTAATCCTGATTTTCGTTTTGGATTCTGGATCCGGGGGGAGGCACTCGATAAAAATAAACATGATAAAAACATATGTATTTTTTGGCACTAATAGGAATCCTTAATTTCCGAAAAATAACAAACTCACAGCGGGAGGACATACTCATCTCAAATGCTAGTGAAGCTCCCATGTGGCCTCTACCATGTTCCTACGGGAGGGTGACATAAATAGTTGAGGTGCTCCATATCGACGGGAAGTAGGAGAGAAGGATGGAAGGGAAGAGAGGAGGGTGGAAGAGAGAAGGAGAAAATATGCAACATGGTGCTTTGTCTGCCGTATGAGTTAAAATCTCGCGTGCTCGCAAAATTTGAATTTTTTTCAATGGGTGAGATCTGGGGATTTATGGTTTTTTAATTTATCACAAATAGGTCAAAATCTCACCAGTTAGAGATGAGCGGGGGATGATATTTCAGAATTTGGGTTTTGAATTCATCGGCAAGCGCTAGTGCAACTCGTTGTAGGTGGGTGGGCGGGGTGCCCTATGTGAGGGTTGGGTGATAGAGGTGTCAGACGGGGGTATTTGGGCCTAATTTTTATAAGGCTGCCATTTAGGCCCATTAGTGATGTGGAGCATTGATGGGCCTAAAACCAACCAATCAATTATGCACATAACAAGCAGGTCTATTAATTTTAGACCCGCCAATGATGAGCTCCACATCACTGATGTGTATTTCTTTAGCCCATCTGCAGTGACATTTTGCCAAACCTCGTCAGTGATGCCGATCATGTATGTGGGTTTGTGTAGCAATGCATATCAGCACACATTTATCCAGAAGTGCGCATGTCCACTCATGTAGGATTTTATTGAGATATGCGGTTATGTAATTTTCTGGTCTCTGCCATTTGTAGGCATGTCCTTTCAGGACGTGCTCGCATGGATCTTCCTTGTAATCACTAGAATTGTTTTTCCACATCCACCATCTCCATCTACATACTTCCTCCACTCGGAATTTACATCAGTTTGAGCGTCAACTAATTCCGAACGTCGGGAGTACATGCTCCGTGCAAATAAAGAAAGAAAGATGCATGTACGTGATCAAGAAACAACATCTGCTGATGTTGACATTCATATTTATTGGCCAGCATGCATTCATAATGTATACACTAATTTTAACGAAAAATCATTTATTGCTAAAAAGTGCTCCCTCCATTGCAAAATACAGGACATATTTTGATTGGTTAAGAAAAGGCTTTGGCTAATAATTACTCAATTAATATACTGTATAGTTTATGTAACACAAAGTCACAAGCAAAAGTAACTGCTTTTATTACGAATCCAACACCTCAATTTTGTTTGAAATAAACTATATTCTAATGGAGTAATTAATTGCTTATCAAAGCCTTGCCTTAACCAATCAAAAGAAGTGTTGAAGACTACTACATGTAGTACTAGTAAGAGTATAATTAAATAGATAAGTATACTTCATTACTTGCATGAGTCATTGCATTTCCATCTATGGATACTATCATTTCTTTTCCCTTAAGAAAAGTTTGGGCTGCAAAAAAAAAAGGACTAGCTCTACACAATATGCTAGACACTTCACCCATTTATGTGGTAAGCCAGTGAGTTACTCCATAATCTTTAATAACATTACTACTATCGAGTTAAAGATTAATACACACCTCATTCTTATTCGGTATTGCTTTGGATCTCGGTTGTTTGTATCACCTGCCATCCTGATCATAGAAATGCTGAATAAGACATGTTTCCATGCCATTACAAATAATAATACAATATAAAAATAGATAATGTCAGCACATGTTTCGGTTGACGTAAGCGAATATGAATTTGAATCCGTTTTTTGCTCAATTCAGTCAGATTCAGATGTTTGCTCAATTCAGGTTCAGATGTATAATAATAATAATAATAATAATAATAATAATAATAATAATAATAATAATAATAATAATAATAATAGTAATAATAATGAGATAGTATTGCCATATGCAACACAATAAAGCATTTATAAATACATATGAGCCACATAAAGTGGAATGGAGGGAACAATAATGGACTTTTTCTTGATGACGCCGACTATGCTCTCTCCAAGTATATTAATTGTTTTGCCCAGGTTTTAGTCTTTCATGCAGTACTGGTAGTTGATTAATTTTTCAAAGGGAGTAGTTGATTAATTTCTAGGTTCACTCTTTTGCAAAATAAATAAATAAATTCTATGTTTCACTTCTTAGTTTGATTTTCCGGACATGCTATCATCCTGCACGCATACTAGCATAAACTACATGTTCAAATAGTAATTTGGTTAGCTCTTGTTATGTATAATAAAGTGTACTCCCTCCGTCCCATAATATAAGAACATTTTTGACACTACACTAGTGTCAAAAACGTTCTTATATTATGGGACGGAGGGAGTATAATTTAACCAACTAAATTAGGATACGATAAAATTGAAGTGAGGCAGGGAGAGGAAAGCAAAGCTGGGTACGTGTGGGCTGAGTTAATTTGCGTACTCCTTCACATGAGCAGTGAAGCCATCACCATCCCCAATGCAGCTTGGGTCAACCTGCACGCGTGATATTATCCGTGCATGTAATAAGCTAGTCGTATTTGAGAAGATCACTTTGCTGGATGCTGGCGGTAATTAAGTGAGGGATTGTTAATTATTGTATCTGACCGGTAAAGTGTTGAGCACGAACTGCACGCCCTCCGGCACCGGCCGCCGCCCCCGCCGTGATGGACGAAGACTATCATCTGTCCTGCTCCTGCTGCTGATGCCTCCTCCGTATGCATCAGTATTGTTTATCCTGCGATTTTTCAACTGCACGCACGCACAAATTAGACACAGATCAGTCACTGAATCTATCTATCACGTATAGATGACTGACTACGGCGTACTGTACGTACCATGGAGGTTGCCTCAAAGTCATGCCCTCCGGCGAGAGGGTTTTCAGCAACGCCGGCCAGGACATGATCAAGGAAAACGGAGAGCTGGTTGCCACTGCCACCATGATCCTCCTCCTTCACGCCGGTCTGCTGTGTGTTACCCATGGTCTAATCAGGTAGCTAGATATGTATGGCTTGGCTCCGTCCTATATATGCTGCTGTGGGCAAATATTAGAAAGAAGTGGAATAGTTCGCTTAGTGTAAAGGAGGCGTGGGGACTGAGCTCGAGCTCACGCGAGCTCGCATCAATTTATTTTTTCGTATCTTCCACGAATATCATTTCATGATGAAAATTTGCAAGCAATGAAAACATTTGCCAATGTTTGGTACAAAAAAACTTCAGATTTTTTAAGTTTTATTTCATTTCTTTTCTATTTACTGTTCACTCAGGCTCACGTGAGCTCGAGCTCAAAAAGCACTTTCGGAGTGGGAGCAAGAGCATGGTTGCCACTGACACCATGATCGTCCTTCTTGATGCCGCCCTGGTGTGTTCCCCATGATCTATTCAAGCCATATGAAAGAGAAAGACATCATGCATATAAAAAAGAAAGGAATGAAGAAAGTGGAAAAGATAGCTTAGTGGGAGGAAAAGCTTGTGCCTTTTGATTCCAAATGAATTAATAACACTGAAAAGTCGATCTGGTTCCTCCCCTAATCCAATCCAATGTGTATCTCTCGTGCCTTTGTGTTGCTTCGTTAGTAAGCAAGCTGCCATGCTGCTTGTTCTGTTGTCACATCAGCTAATCTACATAAATTATCAAGTTCTCCAAGACTGGATTGAGTCAAATTTATAGTCTGATTTGTCTTTAATTTAGTTATTTTTCCTGCAGACATTGGTTAGATAGATTCATCCATCTTTTGTTTTTCTTTCTTTGCACATAAAATTTTTAGACTTTATTAATGAAAATTATTGTAGAACTATTGTTGTACGGTCTCTGCCTAAAAAAAATCTACATAAATTGTTGGCGTAGGCCCCGGTGATCCGCCGATGCAACTCGCAGCTGGACCTCTTGTTACAATTCTTTTGTTTTTCTGGTGGCGTCATACACTCGAATGATGCGATTTCTCCATTCCACCCAATTTCCAATCCCGTAGGATTAAAGAGGACATGACACTCCAATCCTGTTTTTTTTTCTTATTCCCGTGTCTTGAGAATCTTGTGAAACAACACTTCTGTTGTGGTGGCTGCATCCAAGACATACAATCCTCAAAAACCTTCGCCCTTTGCTCGGTGTAGGTTCTTGGAGGCATGCTCTTAAGTACGGCTATATACGCTGCCACTGAGACGGGGTTTGTCTTATGGGCAAAGTGGAATTTGCGGCAGACGACAAGGATCGCGAGTGATACTAATTAAGCCCGTGTCCCTTGTATGAGTGCAGGTGCAACGCTTTCGAGAAGGAGCATGATCATGATGACATACATGTACCATCCTACTTAAGCCCTGATCCCTCTAATCAAGTGGACTTTTAATCTCCCCAATCCTCAACTCCCATTCCTTATCTCTAATTCCGATGAACTAATCACGATGTAGGTGCAGTCCACATATCCAGTGGCAGAGCCACACTTGAAAACCTTGGCAGGCAAAATTGAAGGCAAGTCCTACATTTTTACTGTCATGGCTCCTTTTGCTCTCATATCCTAGTCAATTTCTACTAGGCTGAGTGGGTCCTAGCACATTTACTTGGTCGTAGCTCCTCCACCGCACATATCCCTCGAGTCCCTTCCCACATAGGTTTAGTAGACCGTCCATCTGGAATTCCTCGAAGCCACACATTATTTTGTAGTTAGTTATGTTAGATTATGTATAGCTTCTGTACTTATGTACGTATTGTAACACATCCATTATATATAATGAGATAAGCCACCCTTAGAGGGTTGTGCTGGTTCCCCCAAAAACTTATTGTCTTACATGGTATCACGCTAGGTTACGATCGCTTCCGCTTCCAAACCCTAATACCCGCACCGCCGCCGCAGCCGCCGCCGCCTTCACCGCCGCCATGTCGAGCGCCGCCACCACCGGTTCCACTGCTGCGGGGTTCCTCCCGGCCTCTCTTGCGGCTCTGCTCAACCTCCCGCTCGATGCCGTCGCCGTTCCGGCTCCGATCGGGACCAGGAGCATCGGCTCCGTCTACTCCACGCCGCCGGCGCCCTCGCTTGGGCGCGACCTCGTGGTCCACACCGCGGCGCCGCCGTCCGCTGCGGACTCCGCGGGCGTCGTCCCGCTGCTCCTGCCGCCAGCGGATCACACCGCCCCGCTGGCGGGGTTGGCGGCGTCCGC